ACACAGCTAGTATCCGAGGCTAGTTTTGAACTCAGGTGTTGCTAACTTCAGGGCCAGTGCTCTACCGAGAGCCATCTAGCTGCCTCTAAGAAAGGGATTAGTCCTAAGCAAAACAAATTCTAAGGATATACAAAAATATTTGTAGCTTTTGATTCCTATATGGGAATCTAAGTTGAGTGCATATAAATTGGAAAATGGCTAAATAAATTAAGGTATAATGTGATAGAATACATTAAAGTGCTTTAAGAAATGAATGGAATGATTTCAAAGAAATTTACAAAGACACGTATGAATTAATGCATTGAATAGAACTGGGAGAACAATTTACAAGATAACATCGTTGAAGAGAAAATTTTTTGACAGACTCAAGAACTCTGACCAATGCAATGGTAATTCTATAGTAATAACAGAAAAAGGCAATTTACTTCCTGATAGAGGTGAAAGACTAGTACAGAAGGAGACATACATACACAGGTAATATATACACATGTACATGCATTTCTTTTGGATGCACAGAAATCTGTTTTCTTTGTAAAAGGTGTGTGGGGGGGAGTACGGGTAGCAGTGCCTGTCATTTATAGTTGGCATTTAATAAATGTTGATTTTCATTCTCATTGTAAAGAATGGGAAGAGGATTTTTGATGGCTGGTAAAAAAGAGTATTGAAGAGACTGAAGGCTGGAAGACCCAATTAGTAGTCTATTAATGTACCATATTCCAGGTAAGAGGTAGTGATGGAATCAAATATAGGGGAAGTGTTAACATAAAGGGTACAACTAAAAACTTACTGTGAAAATAGTAATTCCTGAACTAGGAGCCTGTGTTTGTGGAAGGAAAAAGGAAACTGAAGTCAAAGTCAGAAGGCTTTAGACTTTTGATGACTCTGAGAAAGGTGGTGTCCACAGTCAAGTTTTGCGTCTGCAAGCAACTTTTGGGAAGGAAAATGTTATGGGGAAGGACTCTGCCATTTACATCTGCAGCACCTATATATAATAATTTAAATGTTTAGTGGATGAGGTGCCACACAATTAGATTCATCAATAAACATTTCCTAAGTGCCTTTGGTATGTTAGGCAGGAAAAATATCCTGATGGAATTGGGGAGGAGGGGGCAGCTGGTCAGAGCTTTCCTAAAAAGAGAAAAGAGGCTGGATGTATATATACTTGCCACGTTGATCAATCACTTACAAAGCACTTAGCACCACCAGGCACTGTCCTATAAACACTGAGGATACAAGGACAGTCCCTGCTTTCAAACAGCTTACAATCTAATAGAAAACAACACACAAAAGGAAGCTGAAAGGAAGAAGGGAAAGCAGCAGAGAAGGCTGGGGGATGTGGTAGAGAAATCCATCTGAGTCAATCTGGGCTGAGCTTTCCTTCAAGAGAGGTTTGGGAGTTCACAGCCCCACCCTCCTATCAGAGGCAGTAACAAGCTTCCTGGGGCCTGGTGGAGAAATTGGTCAGAGAAGTCTCAAAGTAGTACACTCAGGAGAGAACTGTGGATAATTGTGGTAACTGATGTGATTACCAAGGGAATGTTAAAGAGAGAAAACAGCTAACTAACCTCAGTATAACAGCCTGAGCAGAGTAGATTAAGATAATCAAATGAGAGCATGGAACCAAAGAACAAAGTCCTCAACAGGGACTGGTGAATTAAAGGGGAGGGGGAAACAAGCACTGAAGTGCTTACTACAAGCAAAGCGCTTTTAAGTTATCCCATTTGATTTTTACAACCTGTGATGCAGGTGCTAGTATTACCCCCCATTTTACATTGCTATTTCAATGAAGGAAAGAAAGACAGAGGTTAATGTGAAATGTCTGAGGCCAAATTTGAACCTAGTGGTCTCATATCAGCATATCCCATAAAGGTCAAGGATGAGTTCTGAGAAGAGCATTATGACTTTAGGGACTAGTTTCCACAGAGGTGGGTTAGGAAGCAAATTTTACTTCTAAGGAATAGACCCCTCCCCCCATCACAAATGGCTTCTGCCTACCTAGGTCTCCAAAGGAGTCACTGATACTTTGATACTTTCTAGGAACTGGGCAAGGGAAAAGGATTCCTTTTAGTGGCCATGCCCTCCTGGGCATCACAATGTTTGTAGAACACAGAAAATCATAATGATTTTCTAAAAATCTAGGTATAGCCTCTCTCCAACACAATACTTCACTTTAATACACCCTGTTATTCAATCATTGGGCATGCCCTAGTTCTTACATCACAAGTAAGTTCACTTCTGGTTTCAAGAACTCCTTTATCTGATTAACATATAATTTCATCTTTCCCTATGCCTTAACTCTTAAACCTTCTTCACCCTTACCATGACCTCCAATCCTTCTATTCCATACTCTGCCAGGTTGTCATCCACCCTGACTTCACTTTCCCTCCTCTTTCCAGTCTAGACCCTTTAGCTGATCAGCTAAACTAGATATTTACTTGGCCTTAAACTGTCAAGAGAACCCAATACTCATGTCATACCTTACTGAGAAAATAAGAGGCTGTGAGCCTCTATTTGTCCTTGACTCTGTGACATCTCCCCATTCTCTATTCCTTACTCTAGTTGCCTTTTGAGGGCTTGGAACAAGCAGTCCCCAAAGAAGCAACTGTCTGTTAAGAACAAACCCTCTACGTGTACCCCTCCAGCAGACTGGATCCACTATCATCCTCTCTTCTTAGTTACTGGTTCTTTGCTCAATGACTACACTCTCTCTCAAGTCTCCCTCCAACCTTATAAAACCCTCACCAGAGTCTACCATCCCTGAAAGCTACTTCTCAATCCATCTTTCCTTTCTTGGATAATAAATAGGCAAAGAGACCTATGATTTCATTGGTATACTCATTTCCTTCAATGTCTCACTCTAAATTTTACCATACAAACTGACAGCTGAACTGATTGTTAAACTAAAACTCCAAATTCCAAAGTCACAATGTCCTGACAAATCTGATGACCTTTTTTTAACCGTTACTCAGGCTTGGTTCTCAACTTCTCTGCACTGACACTGTTCTCCTGTTACTCCTATCTAGCTGCTCCATTACAACACCCCCTACTTGTGTATGCACACCTGAGCCATCTCTCAGTTATCTCATCAGCTCAGCAAGCTACATTTAATTATGCTGACTCCCAAAGCTAGTCTCCTGAACATTGGTTCTGTACCGTCTTGAATGGATTCCCCGAAGACCTCAAAATCAACACGTACATTAACAACTCATCCTCTTACCCTCTAATCCTTTTGGGCTTCCCAGGTTTGCAATCTCAGTATGAACTTACCACTCATCACATATTACCTCACCAATGTTTTCATCCCTATCTTGGTAGCTCACACCTTAGTTCAGACCCTCATCTCTTGCCTCCTCCATATCTCAGTACTCCAATCAATTCCTCAAACAGCTGCCTGAATGAGCATATCACTCCCCTACTTAAATTCCAGTTCTCCTTTTTGGCATTTAAAAAGCCCTTCACAACCTGATTCTAACTTTCTCTTCCCAACACTTTTACGTTCCAAACACATACAACAGCCCAGCTCTACTGACCTTGTTGTTCATACCCAGAAGTCCACATCCAAACTCCTCCTATGGTGATTTATCAGTTTATGGGCAGCTTTCTACAATAAGGTCTTTTCTGATACCCCAAATGATTGTGCTCGACATTCCCTCATCAGACTTTGACTATTTTATTTGAGAATTTAAATTCTGTCCTGATCATATTTCTCTGCTATTTGTAAAACTGCAGCAGTTTTTACAAATTGTACAAACTTTTTTACAAGTTTTACAAAATCTTGCACCTTTGTGTTAACTGCAATTTCTTCGAATGTCTGATAGAAATGTTCTCTCTCAAAAACTGTTAATGTCTCCTTTTAAATTCTCATTCTGCAGAAAGGATTCACAGTCCAGCTATCCAATTTGGAGAACAAGACTACTTCTCTGTGGGGAGAATGACACACAGCCTACTGGTACCTAGAACCACTTCCTAACCACAAGGGTCTTTGGGACGAAAATGGAAATCTTACAGACAGAACACCAAAGGCATAAGGACCTCAAAGTAATGTAAACAGCACTGCCCCACTGCAATCAACACAAGCTAGGGATCCAAGAACCTAGAAATAGGTAAGTGATACCCTGGACCATTCCACAGCTATGAGCCACCCACCTCTTAGTATCATGGGTGGTCAAGACAAGTTATTCATCCTGCTCAAGGTCCAGATTAAGTCACTAGGGGGCCGACTTCAATCACATGTTAAGCTTTATTAACAACTAGAACTCTTAAAAACTGAACAGTCTAGATGGCAGGTTATTCTGAGATCAATTAAGAATTTTTGTATGCTGTTGAGCTCTCATGTTATATGAGAAGTTTATGATCCTCTAATTAAAATACTACCTTCTGCCAAAACATAAACTTGTGTTAATATGGCTACATTCCGCTATCATCTGGTAGTAAGTATCCTGGATAATCTTATCTACCCAGGCCCCCTAATTTCAGCCTTCCAAGACTCAATTTCCAAAGGTGTCCACTATCGTTGGTGTCACTATCACAAGGCACTCGCACTCCAACTATTTTACCTTCTAGCTCATCACCAACTTTCAAGATGCCCACCTACCTAAAGGCTTCTGATCAAACTATCACAAGCCCAAAATAACTCAGGCAACTAAAACCTTAATATTATATTAATGAGTGTAAAACATATTAAATAATGTTTATAATATAATAATAAATAATCTAGCTCAGTCTGGAAGACAAAGTGAAGACATATGGTACCTCAGTGCTGAAAAGTAGTCAGTACTTAATACTTCCTAAAATCTCCCAGCTACCTAAGTACAAACTCAGCTTTCCAACCATAAACGTCATCAAGTTTGGTACTCACCTGCTGTCTACCTGCATTCTTTAGAAAATTGTCTGTTCTTGAGTAGGTTGTGCCAAGGACAGATTTTTATAATCAAGTTTCTTTTTAAAATCAAAAGACAGGCTTTATGTTCCCCTAACCCATAGACACACCAGGCACAATATAAGGTTGACCAACCATTTTATTTTCCTCTGATCAGTTCAGGAATGTTGATGGGGGCAGACAGCTCTTCACATAGGCTTTGGAGGGGGTCTGGGAGCAGCACCCTACAAAAGTAAAAGAATGAGATAGTTCATGAGTAACATTGGAACAATGTCATTCAAAGCACTTTCCCACTATGGAAAACAGAAATAGTTCAAATACCTTTCTTAGTCTAGCATCCTTTCACAAACATCAATAAGGGAAAAAATTCACTTTGGGTATGTATTGTTGGTATACTATTGGTCAGAGTATAAGAAATTGTGAAGTTTTGAAGAGATGTCTATAATCAGAATTAATAAATTATAAATCCAGTGATATTGGACACCTTTGGAATTGATAAAGCAGTACCCAGCCTCTTTTCCAACTAAATACAGTATTTTCTGGAGGCATAGTCTAGCTCCAACCACACCCCCCGTATCTTTAAAGACCCCTCAAAGTTTATTTTCATTTTTTCATTTCCCTCTTTAGAATAATCTCTCCCTGAGCAGGGACCTTTTCAAGCAATCCTAGCAGACCCTATTCCCTCTCCCCCTTCCTCTTTTTTATTCTCCTGTTCAGACTTACAGCAGGTCTGAAGCGGGGTGGGGGTGTCCGATCCTTTCGTGCCTCCCTGGACCGATTCCTCACTACCTTGCTGTGGATCGCGCAGCTTACACAGTAATGCAGTTTCACATACAGTTTGGGCAGCACATAGGCTGGTGAGAGTTGTAACGAGCATTAGCATTGTCCTGAAGTGTCATGCCTACCCCAAAGTACACACAAATGTATTTGAAACGCCACGTTTTTAGAGAGCTTTTATGTCAAATGGCCTGAGACAGAAATTAGTATCAGCAGATTTGGCCATTCCCCACCCCCTAAATGGGCCCAGGCATAGCCTCTACACGGACCCCCCTTTGCTGTTCTGGTCTCAAACTCCATTTCCTCAGATCACTCGTCTGTAATGGGTAAAACAGCCACACAAATGACCTTACTCGATGTTAAGGAAAATAAAAATCTTAACCCTTAACAAGATTAGACTGCTAGTTGTAGACCAGAAGAGATACCGCCTACATCCAACTTCGACGTTCGGTTAAGGAAACCAAATGCCAAAGACTTCCCAGTTCAGGGCTCTCTCCGTCCCACTCAACTGTCCGCACTTTTACAAGAGGCCAGTGACCGAGGGACCTTGGGCCGTTTAGGGTCAGAGATCTGGGCCTGAAAAGAGCGCCTGGGAGAGGCTGGCTCCCTGGGAGGTGGGAGCCTCCCTGGCAGGACTTACAGTCGAAGACGCTGGCCTCGGAGATGTCCCTGACGGCCGCGGCTTCCACGATGTTGCGGATGACGAACTTCTTGATGGCCTTGTCCTTGGGCACGCAGCGGGCGCAGTTGGTGCAGCGGATGGGCTGCACGTGGCCGCGGCCCTTCTTGGCGCGCCCGTTGTTCCTCCTCTTCTTGGTCTGCGGCGATGGGGTGCAGAGTCACGCGGGCCCGCCAGGGGCTCTCCCCGAGCGTTCAGCCTCTCCCCGACTCCCGACCCCGGCTCCAGCCCCCGGGCCCCGCGTCTCTCCGCGCCCCGGATCCGGCCTCCCCATCCTCTCTCCCTCTCCCGGCGTGCCGTCTCGCCAGCCTGAACTCGAAGTCTCCACTCCCCTTCTTCAAGGGCTTGGGGCCCTCCCCATTCCCCCCGCTCCAATGGTCTCGGGACCGGCCTTCCCAAACGCCAGACACCCCAAACCCACGCCACTTCCTCACCATCTTGAAAGCCAGGAACCGAAAAAGGATGCGGCCCTGCCGCCGTCCATCTTATATAGGCAGAGATCCGTGCGCCAACACATGCGCGCAGACAAAGTTTCTCTTCGGAGGAAAACCAATCCCAGAACTCGCTTAACAAAAAGCCTTATTACTTAATAGACCAATGTCCTCGGTTAAAAGAGGTTTTTGGGGTTGTTTTTGCCTCAGAGAAAGAGCCCCTATGGACTATTTTTTTTTACACGTGGAAGAATATGGATCAAACTATTTTCCCAACAGGCTCCGCGAGGCTTCGGCTTTCCCAGAAGTGCTGCTGGGAGTTGTAGCCGTCAGCAGTAGTGTCTCAGGGCACGCCGGGAGTTGTAGTCCATCGGGTAGACGTCAACATGAAGGACTGCCTTTTGGGAGTTGTAGTTTGAATGCGCAGGTAAGCCTACGTGTGCGATGAGAGACGTAGTTCAGAGGCGGCCGTCGGGCCGCAAAGCCGGGGTCCCACTAGCAGAGGAAGCTTGTCTTTCACGTCACGCGCTTTTGTTCATTCAATCCTTCCTCTTGGTCGCAGCTTCCTTTTCTTTTAAGAATGAGGACAGAAAAGCAGAAGATGAAACAGCTGTAGGCACATCCCACTCCCATCACGGAAAAAAGATTTCCCTACTCAGTATTGACTTCAGGGGCTCCCTCTCCCTGCCAAGATTAAATATAAAATGGTCCATTGATAGCCTGGCCCTTTTCTTCTTTCTCCTCGTCTCTCTCCCCCTCCTCCTCTTTCTTCCAAGATACCTCCATTCACATCTTCTCAGACCCTAGGTTTTGTACAGCTGAGCAGAGGAATTTCATCCCTGCTAATAGTCTTAATTGTATTGCCCATGGTAGCTAGCATACTACTGGGCGCATAGTAGGCATTCAATAGACACGTGTTCAGTGAATTTTCACGCTTTCCAGAGGTAATTGTCCTCCTACCTCGAAGCAGAAAAGGCCAGGAAGTCTATTCTGACAGCAATCCTGGGATGAAGAGTCTCTCCAACTCCTATTCGGGGATTTTAAAACTTGATTGTGCCATGGAGCCCATCCTGGAATTTAATATCAACCTTTTTTTTTTTTAACCCTTTTTTCCCCCCTTCTAGGCAGTGGGGTTAAGTGACTTGCCCAGGGTCACACAGCTATAATGTGTTATGCATCTGAGGCGGGAATTGAACTCAGGTACTCCTGACTCCAGCGCCGGTGCTCTATCCACTGCGCCACCTAGCTGCCCCTAATGTCAACCTCTCTTGCTGCAGCCGTTTCATTTGGGGATTTCTTGCTTAGTCTCACCCAAACTGCTTATTATCTGAGGACAAAGTGAATCAGAATAAAAACACAGTGATAAAGTCTTTTCCCTCCTTCCCTCCAGAAGAGCAAAGTAGGGGAAGTTTGCAAAGACAGGAGGTGTTAAATTACTCATGTTTATTTATAACAGACCTTCAGCCAGTACAGTACAAAACTTACAGTAGTATATTCTTCGTTACACAAATATTTACTTACAATATATTACAGATACAAAACGCTTCGCAGTTAAGTCTCAAAAGCAAGTTTGACTCCCCTTAAGAAGGGAAAGAACTCTCAAAAAAAAAAAACAGGGAGGACCCAGAAGAGGAGAGGGGGTAGGGATCAAGAAAGACACCAAGTCTAGGATACAAATGAAAACCCTGGGAAAGAGAAAGAGGACAGAGGTGGTATTGCACTTTCTTCTTTTTTTCTTTTTTCTTTTTTTTTTGCTCATCATAATGTCTGATTAAAAATATATATATATATATAATATATACACAAGGAAAGAAACTGCTAGGAGTGTTACAAAAATCCCTCCCACAGCTTGGAGACAGACATGGAAAAAAAAACCCAAAGGTTTGGAAAAGTATCTGCTTAGAAAGGGTTTTGTTTTTGAGTTTTGTTAGAAAAGGAGAACACCTCTTTCCTCCACATAGGTTTCAGGGTTTTTTTTTCTTTTTTTCTCCTTTTTTCCTTCTTTTCTTTTTTTCTTTCTTTTTTTTTTTTTTTAAACAAAAGGAGCTGGGAGGAGGGGTGAGCACATTTGAGGTCCCAGGGCCAAAGGGGCTCTGAGGAAGTAGGGCTTTGTACTTAAGACCCTGGTTAAAGTGCAGTGATGATCTGGAAAGTGATGGAGTCCCCTTCTTCCCCTACCTAGAGTCTTATCTTGCTCCCAGCCCCCAAGTCTCTGCTCTCCTGGGCATAGCAATAGCCTCAGAACATGATTTTGTTTTGTTTTGAATTTTCAGGGTGAGGGGATCACAGGTTTGTCAAAGTTGAATGGGGAAAGGATGTGAGTAAGACCCTAAGGCTCTGATCTCCCTGGAGGGAATAGTCCCTATGGGGAGTCACTATCACAAGCAAAATACTGTAGTAGTTCCCAGTTGAGAAAGGGAAAGAGTAGAAAGGGGCTCAATGTCCAGATCTGCTCTGCAAAAGTGGAGTAGGGAGGTAGGAGAACAGTGTCCTGCTGAAAAGAACCTTCCTTTAGAGACCCTTCCATCCTTCCCCTCTGCTCCTGTCTTTGTTCCCCTACCCTCCACCTCCCTGACCCTGGCAGCATCTGTTTATTGCTACATTGTCCAGGAGGAACAGACAGGTTCATCACAATGATGCTTCACTCTACACCTATCTGATCTCATCAAGGAAACCTCAGGGTAGAGGAGGAGGAAGAGAAAACTGTTTTAGAATTTCCTCCCCACAAGGGAGTGAGACAGACTCCTCTCAGAGGCCCAAGTACCACAATCCTGGGTTCTGTCCCCCAGCCAACCCTGCAGCATCCTTCCCTGGGGACTCCTAAGAGATCCCTGAGGAGGGAGAAAAGGGAGAAGAGGCAGAAGAGGCAATGAGGAAAGGAGTTGTGAAAAGAGGAAGAGGAGGGTGGGAGTTGGAGAAGAAAGGTGAGAGAAAAGAGAGAAGGACCAAGTGTTGCAACTTGTGAGGTGGTTGTGTTTTTGTGTTTTTGTTTTTTTTTTAACATAGAAAAAAAAAACAGCCTTTGGTTTGAACCTCAAGGAAGCAAGAGAGCCAGGTGGCTGTGGCCCTGGGCTGGGACTCCATGTGTATAGAGATTCTTCCCCTTCCCAGGGGCCTCTGCCTCCCTCCCAGACCAACAAGAACAGCCAAGCATGCTTTGGGAACCAGGAGGGAAATGAATCCCTCCTTCCCTGCTTCCTTGGCACCAGGCATGATGGGGGCAGTGAAAGATGCCCTCAGTCCAGATGGGCTGGACCCACTCTCCCTGGGGCAGGGGTAGGGTAGGGGGCAGGGGCACATGCCCACCCTGCAATCATTTTTGGTTATATTGAAATAATTAAAAGTGAGGAAAGAAACATCCCTTTCTTATGACCACTAACCCTGAGGATGGAACCTCAGAGCTCAAGAATGGGATGGTAATCCCTGCTGGGGAGGGTGAAGGCAGTTAAGACTGAAGGGCTGGGTCTCCTCCTTGTCTTCAGGCAGCAATAGACTTAACTGGTTTTTCGTATGGTGGGAAAGCCCCTGAGTGCCTAGAGAGGTTTCTGGGGTGAGGGAGTCAGTTGAAGAAGCATTGAGAGGAAGAGAAGAATCTTGTCTTCTCCTTGTCCCGTTTCCAATTTGGTGAGGATCTTTTACTCCCAATGCTTCAGAGACAGAAAAAGGTGCAGACCCAGCTTTCACCCCTGAGGATATCAAATTGGGGTGCCCCAAGTGGAGGGAAGTCACCACTGAGCACACAGACTGGTTAGAGGACCAGAATAGCCCCTGTGAGGTTGAAGGGAGAGGATATCACATCCTAGTGGGAGACCCAGAGTGCAAATGCAGGCTTCAGAGTATTCATATTATTAGGGGAACGAGTGAGAGAATTCTGAGCCTCACAGTGCCCTGGAGTGAATTTTTTTCAACCCTCTCCTCCCCCTAAATGGGGGATATCCTTCATTCATTCATTCATTCAAGAACAGTGCAAGCTGCCCAAGGTGAGAGGGCAGAGAGGTATGGAGTGCCAGGATAGGGGTGTCCCAGAGAGGAGATATAATGCCACAGAGCTATGGTGGGGCCAGGAGGCACCGGCACCGGAACTGAGGAATCTGGCAGTGTATGTGAGGGGGAGAGGATCAGGGACAGCAGTAGGCCCATGCCCCTCTACCCCACTGTCTTAGGGATGTGGAGGACGCAGGAATGGAAAGGGAAATTAGGCTTGGACAGGAGAAGAGAATGAGGGTGAAGAATGGCAGGTGTCTGATAGACTTTTCCTTAAAGGGCAAAAACCCTCCATCTAATAATCTTACTAAATAACTTAGTGTGAACTTGGGGAGGCATAGGGGTTGAAAAAAAGGAAGAATCAAACCAAAAGACCTGTTTCATCATAATGCTTAAATAAATCAGCTTGGCAGCTTGCAGAAAGGAGAGGGCAGAAATGGTGAGGAGTCAAGTGCGAAATCAGGCAGCCAGAGATTATGTCTGTGTGACAGGCTACAAAAGCAAAACTTAGTCGGGTAGAAAAGTGGACAGTGGGAGGCAGGGGTCAGATGGGAGGGCTGGACACCTCTGAAGGTAGGAGGAGATGACAGGAAGGGCTGGATTGGAAGGGAGGCCAGAGATCACTAGCCCACCTTGTGTTCCCCTCGGACAATGTGGGAGGAGAACTCGTACCGGTCCTGGCTGTGGTAGCCACAGATGTTGCACTCAAAAGGGTCCCTGAAGCCATGGCAGCCCATGTGGATGGTGAACATGACGTGGTCCAGGAAGAGGATTCGGCAGTGCTCACATTTGAAGGCCTTCACTGGCTCACCGTCCTCACCCACCACCCGCAACACGTCCTTGGCAGGGCCAGGAGCACTCCGGGGGAGCCCTTCCTGCATCTTGGGGTCCTCTTTGGCGTAGGCAGGGCTGGGCCGGCTCCCCACAACCAGAGTAGGGGCCGGCTGATTTGAGGGACACTGAGGGGTGGTTACAACCCCCCCACCCCGTTCCTCATGGTTGCTCTCTGTGTCTGTGGAATCCTGGCAGCCATTACTGGGGGAGACCCCAGGGTCAGCCAGGGGACCCCGAGCCCTGTAGAGGAGAGGGCCCCCATCAGCCAGGTCCTCATGCCCCTCGCTGGCTTCCCG